TGCTTCCCGAGTGCTGGGATTAAAGGCATTCGCCAACACCGCCTGTTTTTTTTTTTTAATGATTTATTTTTATGTGCATTGGTACTTTGCCTTTGTGTATGTTTATGAGAAGGTGTCAAATTCTAGTTAGAGATAGTTATAAACTGCCATATGGGTGCTGGGATTTGAACACAGTTCCATTGGAATAGCCAGAGCTCTTAACTTCAGATCATCTGTCCAGCCCAACAGTTCATGTATTAATCTTGTACTGTGTACCTGGATCAAGTCTGTCTGGCTAATAGCTACAAAGCTGCCCTTAATACAGTAGGAGGCTTGGACCGGTTGCCTCTTCTCTGTACGCATACTCTTGGTCCCATCTGTCTCTATGCTCCTCTTCCCTTTAAAAAGTTAAGTGGTCAGCCTCCTGAACCCTGAACGAGTCCCCAGGCAGTAGAAGCCAGGACAGTCTTCAGAGTTGAGGCCCCTGTGCTGTGTACATGCTGCTTCCAACTTAAGACTGTTTTCTGCAGTTGCCTCAGGCTTGTGCTTTGGGGAGTCTGGTCCTCTGCCTGCCACACCAGATAACCACACCCCAAGGGCATCTTCTAAGGTTAAGGCACCCACTTTCTTACCTTTCTTTCCACCACCACAAGGGCAAGGAATAGCAAAGACCCCAGGCATTTATCTGTTACCCCATGGAAGAAAAAAGGGTCACACTTCTGTACATAAGCCCAATTTCCCTGGTTCCTTGGGAAACCTAATCAGCCATCTTCTACCTGGGCTGATCTCTTCCAAGATAGGAAGGCCACCACCCTCCTCCCCACCCTCATGAGTGCATGTCCTAGAGTCTCTCCATCATCTTCAGGCAGGCTCAGGACCCAGCCCAGTCTGTTTCCTTGGAGTCTGAGTAGGAGTGTGAATACAGGACTGAGAACCAGCAACCAAGCTCTCAGCCCTGACCTGCATAGATGTGCTGCAGGAAGAGCCTCAGGTCTCTCAGGGATTGTCCCATGTGTTGACAGAACTCAGGACTGGGGCTCCCCAACCCTCAACAGTTTTAAACTTCATTTTCCACTGGAAATTGTCAAACTTCCATTCGGGGCCCAGAGCCAGACAGGGGCCTGGGGCAGGGTGGGGAGGGAGGGGATGAGCTGGTGCTCACTGTGATTCTGCCGTTTTCCCCCCTTCAGCCCTGTCCAGGTCGACTTCTCCAGGTCATCGCAAGGCCCCAACTCGAGCTGCAGATGTACTTTCTCCTCCATGTGCCCTCTACCTGTCTTGACCCTCCCTGCTCCCACCACCCTGACCAACCAAAAGCTGAACGGATGCCATGCTGTGCTGGGGCCTTTCAGGACCTCAGCAGAGCCGCTTCCTGGTGCTACGCAGCCTCCACACTCAGAGCCCAGGGAATGGGCTGGCCTGTGAGCCAAGGGCTGATGGTACTGCTGGCCCAACACTGCTCTCTTTGTGTTTGGTTTTGTTTTTGTTTTTTTTAATTCTTTACTTTTGATACTGTGAATATCTTTCATGCAGAAAGATAAAGCAACATTTGGACACAGAGTGTGATGGTGATTTGCTGGTCTGAGGAGTGGGTGGGATCTGTCTTGGTCACCACTATGGAGCAGTACTCTGTATAAACAATTTGTCGTACTTTCACTTAATCCTTAGAGCCCTGCAAGCGATCCTAAATGTGACCGGTAGCCCACTTTAAAGAAGAGGACATAAGGCTAAGACAGTGTAGTGACTACTGAACAGACAGTCTGCTAAGTGACTTAAGCACAAGGCTGTGGCTCCACTGCCCAGGCCTCCTTGCCTCCTTCCTTCCTTCCTTCCTTCCTTCCTTCCTTCCTTCCTTCCTTCCTTCCTTCCTTCCATCAGGAGGACCCAGGTACACGAGCCTGGAACACTAGATGGGCAGAGTAGTTCAACAGTAGTAGCCCCTGAACACGGGCGATGCTGAGAACACAGCACCTGCTCAGCCCAGGACGCAGTTCTAGTTTAGTGCTGAAGGCCTGGCAGATCCCCGGAGAGCCACTGACCTTTGATTCTTTTTACTAATTTTATTATGTGTATGAGTGTTATGTCCACATGCATGTTTGTGTGCCACATGCATGCAGTACCTATGGAGACCAGAGGAAGTCACTGACTGACTCCCCTGGGACTGGAGTTACAGATGCTTATAAGCTGCCATGTTGGTGCTGGGAATTGAACTGGGTCCTCTGAAGAGTAGACAGTGCTTTTAACTGCTGAGCCATCTCTGCAGCCCCCAATCAAGTTCCTGATCATTAGTCCACATTGAAAGGCCGAAGAAGCTAGCGTCTGATATTCAGCAGCGGTAACAGCAACAAAGTAGATACATTCACCAGTAAGGTGAAAACAGGCAGGCAGAAAGCTTTTCTGGATCCCCTTATGTCCCAGGAAAGTGCTTCCTATTCTGGAGGAGGGTCTTTACCTGCAGAGAATCTCCCTGGAAATGCCCTTCCAGACCCACCTGAGGTATGGATGTCTGCCAGTTGATTCCAGTACGAACCCTGACACTTGTATGATACCGGTGTAGGAAAGGCCCTGAGTTCTTTCTATGCCTTCCACCTACAGCCAAGTGAGAACCGCCTACACCTTACCCAACACAGTTGGAGCAGTTAAGGGCAAAGTGAGTTTTTATGAATTAGATCTGACTGCCTACTGGGAATGTATGTACCCATAGACCTGAGAATAAAACAGATAGTGAACATCTACAAAGTCAAGGAATCCATGCCATCCTCCCAATTTGTATTTTAATACAACAGGGTTGCTAAAAATACCTGGCATATGCTATATCTAAAGCGCCCTAGAGTAGTTATTTTCTTTTTTTTTTATTTTTTTAAAGATTTATTTATTTATTTATTATACATTGTTCTGTCTGCATGTATTCCTGCAGGCCAAGAGAGGGCACCAGATCTCATTATGGGTGGTTGTAAGCCACCATGTGGCTGCTGGGAATTGAACTCAGAACCTCTGGAAGAGCAGCCAGTGCTCTTAAACTCTGAGCCATCTCTCCAGCCCCAGTAGTTATTTTCTATTAAATGCAATTTTTTTTTTGAGACAGGATCTATATAGTCCCAGCTGTCCTGGAACTTGCTATCTAGACAGAGCTGACCTCCAACTCCCAGAGAGTGAGTTTGCCTCTGCCTCTAGAAAGCTGTAATTAAGGTATATAGTGCCACACTGGGCCTAAATGCCTTGTTTTTTGGTTCTGTTGTTTGTTTGTTCTTGCTTTTGTTTGTTGAAGATTTATGTGTAATGAGTGTTTTGCTTACACCATGAGTCTGGTGCCCAAGGTCAGAAAAGGGCATTGGATTCCATGGAACTGGAGTTACAGATGCTTGTGAGACACCATGTGGATGCTGAAAATCAACACTGGACCCTCTGCAAGAACAAATGCTCTTCATGGTAGCATCTGGACATTTGCCCGTAGGGTCCTGACAGGGTACCATCTACTGTGTTCCCTTATAAAAGGCAGGCCTTACCTGGATGGTGGTGCACACCTGTAATCCCAGCACTGGGGAAGCAGAGGCAGGTGGGTCTCAGTGAGTTCAAGGTCAGCCTCGCCTATATAGTGGGATCCAGGACAGCCAGGACTGTTACACAGAGAACAAACACCTTTCTGTTGTCCCGTCCCCATGTGCGCCCCTTTGTATGGCTCTACTCTCTCTCCCACCAGTTTCTAAATTGTAACATTTAACCCTGAGCCATCTCTCCCTAAATGTCATTCTTACCTGAGCTTCCGTGGGCAGCACAGTGTCTAGAGGTGTACTCTGCAGGTCCCACCGCAGTACTGGGCATCAGTTTCCTTCTAAAGAAAGGGAGCAGGGTTCCTGCCTCTTGGCCTGTTCAACCCCCAGGGAAGGGAAAGCAGATGAAGCCTTTCTCTGTATTTGTTAGCTGTGTTTCTCAGACTTGGAACAGCTATCTAAAATTCCAGTTTTGCCATAAGTGACCGTCTGGGCAGGTACTACAGGTCTTTGGTGTTGAGCACTCGCCCCTAACATATGCAGTCACCAGTGAGGCTTGGTGGCCTTGGTTCTAACTTTGGCTCACATTCCCCTCTTCCACAATTACTCATCCTTTATGAGTTTCAGTTTTTTGTTTGTTTGCCTTAAGATAAATTCTCAAAGCTGGCCTCAAATTCAGCTGCCTGCTCTGCCCTGTTAAATAAAGCTGGGATTAAAGGCGTGTGACACAGGCAGGGTGTTGGCTCACGCCTTTAATCCCAGCACTTGGGAGGAGGCAGAGGCAGGCAGATCTCTGAGTTCCAGGACAACCTCCGAAGCCACAGAAACCCTGTCTCGAAAAAACAAAGAAAGGTGTGTGACACCTTGCTTGTTTTCTTTTTAATCCCTGCTCATCGTTTGCATGCTACAAGAGGAGCCATTCGCTATGAGTATCATGAAAATCGATTTGCATTGCCTTGTGATGGTTCTATGCTAGATATTGTGGCACATAATCTCAGCACTCCTGAGACTGAGGCAGGAGGATCGCCACAAGTTTGAGGTCAGCCTTGGCTAGAAAAACAAATCCTTAATTTCTCATAATCTCAAAGCAAGTAAATAGGCTCTGTCTTCACACCCGTGCCCTGTGCCTCTACTCCCTCTCTGAAACTACTGCATGGTGTTCAATGTTCCTGGTGACAACCTGAGCCCAGTCCCTTTCCCTCTACCTCACTCCAGCCCCAGATGTCTGCCCTGAGGGAGAAATTTGTGTACTCGCTCTACACTATCAGCGCCGCCCCTGCTCTGCGAGTGTAGATTCCTTCACTTCCGCCCCTCTCTAGACTCCCAGGCGGTCTCTCTGAGACTGACGTCATTTACACACCCAGGGCCCCCACTAAAGACCGCTGACTGCCGGGTGGTGGTGGCGCACGCCTTTAACTCCTGCGGATCTCTGAGTTCCAGGACAGCGTGGCTACGTAGAGAAACCCTGCCTCAAAAAGAGCCCACCGCGACCATTGTTTTACTTCTGACCCCTCGGGACAGAGGCGTTACCTCACGCCGGTGATCAGTCTTGCCTGGGTAGCCCCGGGAACCCTCCTAGCAGGGCTGGGGCCCCGGGCCACCAGAGGGCGCAGCATCCTCCCGGGAACACGCGCGGAAGGACGCCTTGCTCTGCACTCAAGAGCGGCTGCATCCTTTCTCTGCACGGCTTGGGTCTTCTGCGCATGCTTCCAGTCCTTCCGTTACCCACAAGGCTTCGCCAGACACTTCCTTGTAGGCTCCAGCGCCCGCCCACAAAAGCGCCGGAGGAAGTTTGTCCCGATACGCGATCCGGTGCTCACGCCGTTGCTAGGCGACGGCGACAGTTTTTTCCCTTCTGATTGGAGTTCCGATGAGGCGTGGTTTTTTTGCCCGGGCATTGCGCATGTGTGCGACCAACGATGGAGGAGTCGGAACCCGAGCGGAAGGTGGGAGTGAGGCTCTGGGTCCACGCGAGGGGGAGCGGGAGGGGGAGGGGCCGTGGGCTGACTCGGGTCTCTGCAGCGGGCTCGCGCGGACGAGGCGGCCGCGGGCGGGAGCCGCTCCGAGGACGAGGATGAAGACGACGAGGACTACGTGCCCTATGTGCCTTTGCGGCAGCGCCGGCAGCTCCTGGTGAGGGCCCGCATTCCGGGGGCAGCGGGGGCGTGTCCCCGGCGGGAGGGGGCGACCTGGGGAGCCGAGGTTCCGAGGCTGACGAGTTCCGGACAGACGTGCGTGAGCTCCAGTGCACACGACCCCCTTCCCCGAAAAAGCCAGGGTCCTGGCGCCGACCCTCCCGGTGCCGTCTCCCCACCCCACCCCATCTACCGAGGCTTGGGCTTGACTCTGAGGGACGCTGCTGGCACTTCAGCTCCAGAAGCTGCTGCAGCGAAGACGCAAGGGAGCCGCGGAGGAGGAGCAGCAGGACAGCGGCAGTGAGCCCCGAGGAGATGAGGACGACATCCCGCTGGGCCCCCAGTCCAACGTCAGCCTCCTGGATCAGCACCAACACCTCAAAGAGAAGGCGGAAGGTAGGCTGAGCAGGATGGAGGGCGGCTGAGCCTGGGACTCAGCGCCCCGGACTCTCGGGCATCTCGGCTTCTTTTGTCAGCGCGCAAGGAGTCTGCGAAGGAAAAGCAGCTGAAGGAGGAGGAAAAGATTCTGGAGAGCGTGGCGGAAGGCCGAGGTATGACTGTAGCGGGTGCACAGAGGAGCTGGACCGAGCCGTCTCCTCCCGGCCCCAAGCACATTGTGTCCCGAAGGGTCTGAAGCAGGAACCCCAATGAGCTGTTCTGTCTCCTCAGCCTTGATGTCAGTGAAGGAAATGGCCAAAGGCATCACATACGACGATCCGATCAAAACCAGGTGTGTCTCTCCAGTCAGCGTGTGTGGCTGAAGCCGGGCGGCCGTACGGAGGCCCAGCCACACCAGCCGCCTGCGCTAACCTGTGCACTGCCCGCCTGCAGTTGGACTCCCCCGCGTTACGTCCTGAGCATGTCTGAAGAGCGGCATGAGCGAGTTCGCAAGAAGTACCACATCCTGGTAGAGGGAGATGGCATCCCACCGCCCATCAAGAGTTTCAAGGAGATGAAGTTTCCTGCCGGTATGTGAGGGGAAGGGAGATGCCGTGCTTTTACAGCGACGTTGTGTCCCAGCCCCAGCCGAACTCAGCAGTGGCAATGGAAGGTTTGAGATGGGATTTCCCTGAGTGGTTGGTGGTGGTGGTTAGTTGTGGGGGAGAAGTTCTCCCGAGATAGGGTCTCACTCTGCAGCCCAGGCTGACCTCATCCTTCATCGTGCTGAATGCTAGTGCTAACATTGCAGGCGTGGCCTGCGTGCCCTGTGTGGAGGTAGGTTTGAAACCAGGTGTCACTGGAGTCCTGGTTGTCCCAGAACTTAGCTGTGCCTCCCAGCTTCAGGGCTACAGGTGTACCCCACCTGGCTAGAGAAAGGGTTCCTTTTTTCTTTTCTTCCTTTTTTTTTTTTTTTTTTTTTTGGTTTTTCGAGACAGTGTTTCTCTGTATTGTTTTGGAGCCTGTCCCAGAACTTGCTCTGTAGACCAAACTGGCCTCAAACTCACCAGATCCACCTGCCTCTGCCTAAGAGTGCTGGGATTAAAGGCGTCACCACCAACACCCGGTAATGAAAGGGTTTCTTTAAATTTGTTTTCAGATGCTTCGTCTGTACACAGTCTTCTGCTTGGACAGAGCTGTAGTGAGAACACTGTTAGGCTCAGATAGATGGGAACCCACCACCACCACCACCCCCCAGCCTAACACCCATTATTTTTACAGCCATCCTTCGAGGTCTAAAAAAGAAGGGCATCCTCCACCCCACACCCATTCAGATCCAGGGCATCCCTACCATGTGAGTCTGGGCTGTGGGCATGGAGCCCTTGAGGGCTGCAACAGAGAAGCAGTGCCCATTTATCCAACTGTTTCTGCTGGCCCAGTCCTGAAGCTGTCCTCTCCCAACAGTCTGTCCGGCAGGGACATGATTGGCATTGCCTTCACCGGGTCAGGCAAGACACTGGTGTTCACCCTGCCTGCCATCATGTTCTGCCTGGAACAAGAGAAGCGATTGCCTTTCTCCAAGCGTGAAGGGCCTTATGGGCTCATCATCTGCCCCTCGGTAAGATAGGCTAGCCTGGGCTAGCCTGGGGTCGGTAAGGACTGGGGCTGACCTCTGGTACCAGCCTTGTCTCTATGCCTTTAGCGAGAGCTGGCACGGCAGACCCATGGCATCCTGGAGTATTACTGCCGCCTGCTGCAAGAGGACAGCTCCCCCTTGCTGCGCTGCGCTCTCTGCATCGGGGGAATGTCAGTAAAAGAGCAGATGGAGACCATCCGACAGTATGTACGGACACCCTGTCTCACGGGCATCCCTAGTTCCCAGAGCAGCAAAGAACCCTTTAGCTAGTGCTCGGTCTCCCAGAGCTCTGTGAGTCCAGCCCTTGAGGGAAAGTGGGTGTGGGTGTGGTGGAAGGGTGTGGCTGGAAATTGTGGGAGTGTAAAAATGGGATGTCCCGTTCTCTGAGATGTAAGAAGTCAAAGAAGGCTTTGCAGGGAAGGTGCCATTCTGATTTTTGCAGAGGGGCAGTTCAGGCAGAAAGCTCAGAGATTGGAACCTGGTGTGTATAGAAAAATCAGAGCTACTCACTGTGATTAACCAAGGAGACTAAGGTACCGATGTGGGGGCAGACCCCAGTACCACGCCTGACCTTTCCAGGTAGTTCAATCCCCAGCAGACATCTCCAGTTCGCTGAACACGGCCCTGAGATCACAGTCATACCATACCAGAACCCAGCCCTGGTCTGAGGTGTCTGCAGGCTCAGGGAAGATGTAGGTACAGAAAAGGTAAAGCAGCTTATCAGGAAAGTGAGTCCAACACGGCCGGCAAAGGGATGCAGGAGCCAGGTGTCTCTAGAGGCTCAGGACAGCCCTGAGGGAAGGTGTGTCAGGATCAGTGCCACCAGAAAGGTGCAGCCCTACCAAGTAAGCAGCCTGGCTGCACAGAGGACAGCGTGGGGGACGTGCTGAGAGGCAGGGAAGGAAACAGCAGAAGCAGAAGACAAGGTACAGCCCCGGTAGGTGATAGGGAGAGCCAGGTAGCCCGAACCTCAGGGTTCTCCTTGTTCTCAGCGGTGTGCACATGATGGTAGCCACACCTGGACGCCTCATGGATTTGCTGCAGAAGAAAATGGTCAGTCTGGACATCTGTCGCTACCTGGCCCTGGATGAGGCTGACCGTATGATCGACATGGGCTTTGAGGGCGACATCCGTACCATCTTCTCTTACTTCAAGGTGCCCACCCCTGCCTCACTCGGGCATTCCTGCACAGACGTGTACACGCTCTGTACTCCATGTTGACCTGCAAAGGGTCTGTGCACTGTCAGGCTTCTGCCTCTCAGGGCCTGTGTCTCAGCTCTTCAACTCCCTCACACCCCACCCCTCATGCCCTCCATCTTGCCCTGCATGCCCTTAGCTCAGCAGCTCTCAGCCTTCCTAACGATACCCCTTAGCACAGTTCCTCAGGCCGTGGTGGCCCCCAACCATAAAATTACTTCACAGCTGTAATTTTTCTACTGCTGTGCATTATAATGTCTGATAAGTAGGATATTTGGTATGTGACCCCCAGAGGGATTAGAACCCACAGGTTGAGAACCGCTGCCTTAGCCCCCTTCCCCACCCTTCCTCAGGGCCAGCGACAGACTCTGCTCTTCAGTGCCACCATGCCGAAGAAGATTCAGAATTTTGCTAAGAGCGCCCTGGTAAAGCCCGTCACCATCAACGTGGGACGTGCTGGAGCGGCCAGCCTGGATGTCATCCAGGTAGGCAGGCGCTGCTGTCGGGCAGGGTACCAGACAGGATGAAGCCAGCCATGCTCCCCCATGCTAACTGAAGAGCCCACCTTGTGACCTGCAGCCAAGGCCATTCTTAGACTGTCCAGCCCTCTATGGCCAGAGGCTTCTGGTCACCCAGCGCAGGCTGGGAGCCCGGCTGCAGTGAGTGTCAGGGCCATGACTGGTGAGCCTAGTCTTGGGTCACCTGACCTGGCCCTGTGGTGGCAGGAGGTGGAGTACGTGAAGGAGGAGGCCAAGATGGTGTACCTGCTCGAGTGTCTGCAGAAGACGCCGCCGCCCGTGAGTGCAGCCGGCCAGGCGGCCCGGGGTCCCAGGGTGAGACACGAAGGCGGGGACTGAGGATGGTGCCTTCTGACTAGAGTTGGCCTTTTTGGGCAGGTGCTCATCTTTGCAGAGAAGAAAGCAGATGTGGACGCCATTCACGAATACCTCCTGCTCAAGGGTGTTGAGGCTGTGGCCATTCATGGGGGCAAAGGTCAGAATGGTCACTACTTTGGCATAGACCTGCTGCCGTGACAGCTTCCTGCCTTCCCATTCCCTGCCTCTGCTTGGCCAGCCTGTGCTACTCCCAGCATTCCTACTGTAGTTCTGACACATACCTTACCCACCCTAGACCAGGAAGAGCGAACCAAGGCCATTGAGGCGTTCCGGGAAGGCAAGAAGGATGTCTTAGTGGCCACAGACGTGGCCTCCAAAGGCCTGGACTTCCCTGCCATCCAGCATGTCATCAATTATGACATGCCTGAAGAAATCGAGAACTATGGTGGGGACTCTGGGAGAGCGGTGGGCTGGACGGGGAGGGCCAAGCGTCCAAGGAGGAGGCTACAGACTGTTTCTTCCCTTACAGTGCACCGAATTGGCCGTACCGGGCGTTCAGGAAACACGGGCATTGCTACCACCTTCATCAACAAGGCCTGTGGTGAGTCTGTCGTAGCTACCTTGGCCCTACCTTGGGTCCTCCACGTGTAGCTCCCCAGGTTTTAGCTCCAGGGTGGAGCCTGATGGTACCCCACTGTCCCTCTTCTTTAGATGAGTCAGTGCTCATGGACCTCAAAGCCTTGTTGCTGGAGGCCAAGCAGAAGGTGCCACCTGTTCTACAAGTGCTGCACTGTGGGGATGAGTCCATGCTGGACATCGGGGGTAAGTGCTGAGCGGGAGCTCCTGTCTCCAGTCTACGGCTGGGGGCTGCTAAGGCAAGCAGACCGAAATACCAGGAAACGAGTCCAAAATGGTAGGGCCAGCTTGGGGTCAAGATCTGGGGCCTGAAACTTGGCCCTGTGACCTTGCTGACCCCTCTCTCCACCCCCAGGAGAACGCGGCTGTGCCTTCTGTGGAGGCCTTGGCCATCGGATCACTGACTGCCCCAAACTTGAAGCTATGCAGACCAAGCAGGTCAGCAACATTGGCCGCAAGGACTACCTGGCCCACAGCTCCATGGACTTCTGAGCCGTCTGTCTTCCCTCTTCTCCCCAAGAGGCATCAGTCACAGGACTCCAGCCATGCGTACACCAGCCCTCAAGACAAGAAGCCAGCCCCCTTGGCCCAGCTGGCCTGGGCAGTCCCCGTGCCCCCAGAATTACTATTTTTGTTCTTCCCCCAGCGCCATTAAAGCACAATCCCCTCTGTCTCCGACAAGCTCTTCCTCTTCCTCACCCACCTGCCCCCTGCTTCCTGGATAAGCCTCACCCTCTGCTCCAGTGCCACCCTGAGGCAAGACATCAGCGTCTCCCAGAGTTGCCAGCCTGCTGTAGAAGGGACTGGCCAGCTGGTGTCCTATCTGGGGTTCAAGGGTATCTGGTCAGGAATGCCCAGTAACTCGGGCCATAGTTGTGGATCACGGGGAAAATGGTTGTGTCCCTGGTCTCCCTGCCACCTGCCACTGCTACTGGTCTCACTCTTCCTGTGACTGCTCCAGGGCCCCCGAAGCCGCTGGCTTCCCCTCCCTGCCTGTGCAGGCTCCCAGCCAGAAATCCTCTGCTCCATCTGCTGAGGAAGTGGTAGGTGCCACCGAACTGTCATTCTGGCCACAGAACCCTCTGCCTGTTCTGCCCCACTCTTTACTGGGCTGGAAGGACAGAAATGAGCCAGATGTGTCACACTGGGGAGCCACAGGTAAGATGCACACATGCGTGTGTCTGTTGCAAGAGTAACCCACCAAGCACTTCACCTCGCAGCAAGAGGGGGCAAAGAAACGGCGCAGCAGAGGCCGGGCACTCGGTTCCTGTGCACCAGGAGCGTGGTATGGGAAGCATATACTGACTCAGCAAAGACAGCAGTTGCTCAACCTGTGTTTGTCACTCAGTGTGAGGCCTGTGGCAAGTTACCTAACATCTGAGCCTTAATTTCCTCATTGTCGAAATGCTGATGAGAATGCAAAGGATAGGATCAGACTAGAGCTCAGAGCTGCCTGGACCACAGAGGACAAGGGGCCAGGAGCAAAAGGGCCCCTGGAGTGTGTCTCCTGTCTACTTTGTGACAGCTAAAGAGCATTCCTCATCCTGGTTATAGCATTCTTCCCCAAGGTGACGTTACATAAGTGACGAGGTACTTCCATAATTAATATTCATGCACAGCCCCAATTGAGGGCTCCAGCATGTGGGGGGGAGACACTGGGCAGGAAGCAAAGCTTTAAGGATCATGTGACCTCCCTGGGGAGCACACTGGGGGCTTGCCACCCACACGCAAGTGACAAGCAGTGAACCTGACGAGCCCTGTGACTACTGCTTGCTATGTGCGCTGCTTCACTCTCCAACCTTGGAGAGGTCAGGGAAGGCCTCCAGGAGGAAGCGGCCGCCTGTGGCAGGAAGAGCAGCGGTAAGGATTGCCCAGAAGGGACTGATGTGGAGAGATACCGCTGAGGAAGTAAAGGCGTGAACACACGGCCGGAGTGGCCCAGTCTAGACTGGAAGGGAATAACGGGAGGTGGGGGGCTTGTGGACACAGCCAGGGTGGGCCCATGTTGACTGAAGAGGAGAGTGTGAACTTTGGAAATACTTGATTGGGCTGGGAAGATAACTCAGTGGTAGAGCAATTGTCTTAGCATACCCAAGGCCCTGCGTTAATCCAATACTGCTAGAGAGGCAGGTAGACCTCAGAACGGCCACCGTTCTAGAGAGGGAAGGGTCTAAGGATGGGGCCAGGGCTGTGCAGTTCCCATCCATGGGGTGCACAGCTGCCTGGGGATGGGGGAGGGTTCAGAACTCGTGACTCAGGGCATCCACTCTGTGGTCAGACACTCACATCCAGCTGATCCAGGTACATGCGCAAGAGGCAATGGCCCCCCAGGCCCCAGGCTCCCCATGCCATAGGCATGTGTGGCCTTGGAAAGGCAAGAACCCTAAGGTTCTGCTATCCCTCCAGTGAAGACCAGGGTCCCCTCCCCCTAGCCCTGCAGCTGTCTCTGGACGGAGGGAGGGGGAAGTGGCCAGAAGGGGAAGTCAGAGGAGTTCCTGTCCAGCCTGTCACCAGTCTCCTCGGGTCTTCAGAACAGCCGTGGTCATGGAGTCTGTGGAGACCCCTGTCAAGGATGGCATCCTCTACCAGCAGCACGTGAAGTTTGGCAAGGTGGGGACCTCAGGCTGCCAGTCATAGGCAGAGAAGGAAACCTCTGCTTGGCCAGACAGCCTTTCTAGACCTGAGCATACTGGGAAGGGGGTCTGGGTTGGCTGAAACCTGGGAGTTTGGGAGTGGAGCTTCTTGGCCTTAGGTTAGACCTCAAGCATCCTTTGTAAGACTGCCTCACACAATGATAGAGATGCCAGGACAATGGAGAGTCTTAAACCTACATGTGTGGTGGCCCCGAAGCTGGGGAAGGTCAAGGCCTGAGTGGCAGGAGTAGCACCCTGCAGACGGAAACTAGGTCCCCAGACACTTGTGAGGAGAGGGGTTGAGGATTCCCTTTCCTCCTTGAGCACCAGACTGTACACCCTCAGTTCAGCTGCAGCTGCTCCCTGGGTAGAAAACTGTTTCCTTTGCTAGATATCATTTGCATGTTTCCTTCCTTACCAGCATGAAGCTAAGGCCTCCTTCCCACCGCACCCATGGCCTAAGTGCCCTTTCTGGTTGGGGGTTGGCAATAGATAGCATAGCAGCAGTGTCGGTTGGCCTGCCGTAAACACTTGATATGTTACAGACAACCCAGTGGGAAGGCCTTGAGAGACTGCTTAAGGGTTTGTTTGGTTTGGGGGGTTCTTTTTGTTTGTTTGCTATTGCTATGGAGGTCATTTAGAAAAGGGCAGGATGGGATTTGAACTCAGGGCTGACCAACCCCAAATACAGACTTCTTCCTGCTTACCTTTGCCCTAGCAAGGCCTCCTCCTTCCTTTAACCTAAAGTCTTAGCGAGGCAGAAGTCAGGTGACCAGTTGCTCAGCAGTTTGTACAGGGCCAAGTAGCAGGGGGAGCCTTCTTCCCAAGAGTCTCCTTCTTCACAGAAATGCTGGCGGAGGGTGTGGGCGCTGCTGTATGCAGGAGGCCCATCAGGTGTAGCTCGACTGGAAAGCTGGGGTGTCCGTGATGGTGGCCTGGGGCCAGCAGGCGACAGACCCGCAGGGCCTGGCCGACGAGGCGAACATCGGGTCATACGCTTGGCTGACTGTGTGTCTGTCCTGCCTGCGGATGGTGAGAATTGTCCCAGGGACACTGGTGCCTTCCTGATCACCACCACCGAACGAAGCCATCTGCTGGCCGCACAGCACCGCCAGTCATGGATGGGCCCCATCTGCCAACTGGCCTTCCCGGTGAGTGTAAAGTGAACTGGCCTGCGGGGACCACCTCACCCTTACTCCTGTCCCTGCCTAGCCAGAGTCTGCCACTTGCTAAGCGCTGCCAAAACCTGGCAAATCTGGGCAACAGCTCATAAATCCATGAATGGCAGATCCCGTGCATGCTATAGAGAAAATCAAACGATAGATCAGGAGACCTCCAAAAAGGAGAGTAGGCTTGAGCCCTGAATCCCAGGTGAGGACCCACCAGGCAGAGACTTGAGAGAGGTGTCTGAGGCACACTGGCAGGTGTTGTGACGCTGGTGACAAGGGCAAAGACCCTGAGGCAGGAAAACATGGTATGTATGCTAAGGAACAAAAAGTAGGCCGGGGGGCTGGAGAGATGGCTCAGAGGTTAAGAGCACTGACTGCTCTTCCAGAGGTCCTGAGTTCAATTCCCAGCAACCACATGGTGGCTCACAACCATCTATAATGAGATCTGGTGCCCTGTCTGACCTCTAGGCATATGTGCAAGGAGAATGCTGTATACATAATAAATAAATCTTTAAAAAAAAAAAAAAAAAAGGAAAGAAAGTAGGCCGGCCAGCAGCCGAGGCACACAAGAGTCAATATCTTTAGGAAGTTCAGTGAGAGCCTGCGGAAACCACCGTGGGCCATGTGTGGGTTGGAGGTTTTATACTGAATCGGAGGGGATGGCTTTGGAGTATTAAAATAAAGCCAGAGGCTGATGGTTGTGAAGACTGGGGATTCATGATAGAAAAAAACAGTCAACTCTGGTAGTTCCTTAGAAAGTTAATCATGGAGCAGCTGGAGAGACGGCTCAGTGATTGAGAGCACTGGCTCCTCTTACAGAGGCCTCGGGTTCAATTCCCAGCATCCACATGGCAGTCACAACTGTTAAGTCCCAGGGGATAAGACATCTTCCTCTGGCCTCCATGGTTACTGTACACTTATAGTACACAGACAGGTGTGTAGGCAAAACACCCATACACATAGCAATAAATAATAGACACTTTTAAAAACCAGTCATGGCATGCCTTTAATACCAGCACTCGGGAGGCAGAGGCAGAGGCAGGCGGATCTCTGTGAGTTCGAGGCCAGCCTGGTCTACAGAGCGAGTGCCAGGACAGCCTCCAAATCAATACAGAGAAACCCTGTCTCGAAAAACCAAAAAAAAAAAAAAAAAACAGTCATGGGGGCGTTGGTGGCGCACACCTTTAATTCCAGCACTCAGGAGGCAGAGGCAGGTGGACCTTTGCGAGTTCAAGGACAGCCTGGCCTACAGAGTGAATTCCAAGACAGCCAGGAATACACAGAGAAACCCTGTCCAAAAAACTAAAACAACGACAAAAAACAAACAAACACAAAAACAAGCCTTGAACAGCTATGGCACGAGAAGTCAAAGACAAGGGTGGCATACCATTTTTAAGTTCATCTGTATCCAGAACAAACAAGTCCACACAGAGAGAATGCAGGTGCATGGTTGCCAGGGAGCGTGGGAGGCGAGTGGGTAGGGACAGCTGATCTGATGGGTACTAGACTGTCACGTGTGATGATGAGTTCTGGAATTAGGTGCTGCTATGGCTACACAACCCTGTGAATATAGGGGAACACTGAATTGGGTACTTTAAAATAGTAATATTGATTTGTATCACTTGTTTTTAAATCAATGCACAGAATGGCAGGAGGTGGGTTTTGCTGGCCTTGCTCATGTGTAAAGAGTCACAGAGGACTGTCAGAACTGAAAGAATTGCAGGCCTGACTGTGGGGGGGAGTTGGGAAGGTCAGGGGTGACCTGCAGGGGGCGATAGGAAGACGATTGGAGAAGCCTCAAGTTTTACATGCTGCTGCTGCTGCTATTGCCTCTTTGCTGCAGGCCATCAAAGCCACATGGACGCCAACCCCACCCCTGGCTGTAGAAACATCCCCGTGGCTGCCCCCAGCTTTAGAGCACTAGGAATAGCCTTGCACTGCAGGGATAGCCTTGCTCCAAGACCAGCACTCTCAGGGGAGCCCCGGGGAAGGGGGGGACTGCTGCCCATAGTACAGATGGGAAATGACATAGGAGAGCCCAGAGTCCTGCAGAGTGCCAGGCAGAGTGGGGCTGGTGTGTGGAAGCTGTTGCCTGCTGGCCCTGCTGGGGAGGAGGAGCAGGGTGGGTTCTAACTGGTGACTGTAATCTGTTCCTCAGGGCAACGGAGAGTGTTCTTCCAGATCAGGGCAGGCTGAGACTCCAAAAAGGGGCTTTGTGGCCATGGAGGAAAACTCGATCTACTCCTCCTGGCAGGAAGGTGACGAGGGGGAGACCCTAGGGCAGCCCCACACCAGCCCACCCCAGCACTGTCCCTGAGAACTGATGAAATGTCATTGCTTCCCGAGGATAGCGGGTGAGTTCCCAGTGGTGGTGCAGAGGACAGAGGCCACCAGCCGCTGCCACCTGAAAGGGCCTTACCTCCTGGTGCTGGGCCAAGATGACATTCAACTTCGGGAGACTTCCAGCCCCCAGGCCTGCTACAGCTGGCCCTACCATTTCCTGCGCAAGTTCGGCTCTGACAAGGTGAGGTGCTGGCCAACTTGACGGGTCCCTACAGGGAACAGTGGTCCTGGTCGTCGGCCACTGACCCCTGCCTGCCTGTGTCACTTGTGTGCAGGGCGTGTTCTCTTTTGAGGCTGGTCGCCGCTGTGACTCAGGTGAGGGCCTTTTTGCCTTCAGCAGTCCACGTGCCCCAGACATATGCGGAGCCGTGGCTGCTGCCATTGCCCGCCAGCGGGACCGACTTCCAGAGCTGGCCGTGTCCCCACCCTGCCCCCTGCCTCGGGCCCTCTCCCTACCCTCCCTAGAGCCCCCTGGAGAGCTTCAAGAGGTGGCCCCAGGATTTGAGCTGGCCACTTCCAGAAAGCTGCCTAGGACTGATCCTGGGCCTCAAAGCCTGCCACTGCTGCTCGGTCCCACACAAGAAGGGACAGCATCCGCTCTCTATGCATCTGTGTCCAAGCAGGCCAGCAAGCCCACAGCCAGTGGGGAGTACCTCTATGAGAACCTATGCATGCTGGAGGCCAGTCCTGGGCTGTCCAATGGGGGTCCTGAGTCCCAAGAGGGCCCTCCTGGTGGCCACAGCCCCCTGGCCAGTCCCATCTATCACAACAACGAGGACCTGAGTTGGCCTGGCTCGCCCCATGACAGCAGCCTGGAGGCCCAGTACCGGAGGCTGCTAGAGCTGGAGCTAGATGAGGCTGCAGGCCCCGGCCGCTCCAGTGCACAAGCAGGCATCAAGGCCAAGTTGGTGACCCTGCTGAGCCGTGAACGGAAGAAGGGCCCTGCTCCCTGTGACCAGCCCTGAAGGCTTGTGCGGCGGCGGCGGCAGCAGGACAGAGGTGATGTCCCAGGAAACGGAGGGAGCAACTTCCAACGTGTCCCCTGCCCACTCTGACGAGCAGGGACAAGCCAGGCAGCCTGGGAGGAACCACACACTACCCTACACGCTCCCAGCGGACAGTGTACAGATTGACCAATAATAAAGCTTGCCTACCAACTTCCCCTGGGTTCTGCCTATGGCCCACAGTCCCTACTGGCCCACAGTTTCCTTGTGTTCATTGTAGCAAACTCCCGGCCTATATGCTGGGCTCCGGAGACAGTGTCCTGAGCCTGACTTCAGCCACCACTGAGCTAAAATCTCCTTGAGCACAGGGACAGGAGACAGGTAGTTTGGGGTCTGTGTGGTTCTATGCAGAAATGACAGCCAAAGAGTGGGGGAGTCATGAGATCTGTTGACAGAAGTATCCTTAAACTGAGTCATAAGGGTAAGCATGACCCAACCAGGCAGGCTTAGGAGTGTCATTTATGAACCAGAGTCAGCGGCTGTAAACTAGGTGCCATCCTTGGAAAAGACAGCAATTAGACTTGACAGGGAATGATAGAAAGGCCAGCTCTGGGGGACAGAGGGAAGCAGGGCGGCTAAGCTGTGGAGGAGGTTTCGGGCACAGGTCGGGGTGGCGTGGCAGGACAGGAGATAGGGTTGTAGATTGTACATATCCAAAACATGCGTGCCTAGTAGAACCCAAGCAGTTTGCAAATATGTCTGGAGAATCTCTGGCCTGCTTCATCAACCATAAAGAACTCAGTGGAACAGGGCATCACTAGTAGGAGGTAGACCATGGGTTCAGTCTTCAACACACACCCAAGTAAAACAAAAAGACTACGTTATCCAGGAGGCAGAGGCAGGAGGACCTCTGTGAGCTTGAGGCCAGCCTCATCTCCATAGTGAGTTCCAAGACAATCAAAGCTACAAAGTGAGAGCACACCTCAAAACAAAGCAAAAACAGGGCTGGGGAGATGGCTCAGTGGTTAAGAGCACTGACTGCTCTTCCAATGGACCCACGTTCAATTCCAGGCACCTACAGGGCAGTTCAAAATGCCTATAACTCTAAGATCTGACACTCACACAAACATACAAGCAAAATGCCAATGCACATAAAATAAAAATAAATTTAGAAAGGAATTTTTTAAAAAAAGACACACAAAACAAAAACAAACAGCAACAACATCAAATGATTAAATTATAGGGGCTGGAGAGAAGGCTCAGAGGTTATGAGCATTGACTGATCTTCCAGAAGTCCTGATTCAATTCCCAGCAACCACATGGTGGCTCATAACCATCTATAATGAGATCTGGTGTGCAGGCACACATGCAGACAGAACACTATGCATAATAAATCTTTTAAAAAATAGAAATCGGGCTGGAGAGATGGCTCAGCTGTTAAGAGCACTGACTGCTCTTACAGAGGACCCAGGTTCGATTCCCAGCACCCACATGGCAGCCCACAGCTGTCTGTAATTCCTGTTCCAGGGGATCTGATACCTTAATATAGACATACCTTCAGGCAAAACATCAATGCATATAAAATAAAAATAAATAATTTTTAAAAAGTAGAAAGTAAGCTGGGCAGCGGTGGCACACGCCTTTAATCCCAGCACTCCGGTGGCAGAGGCAGGCAGATCTCTGTGAGTTCGAGGCCAATCTGGTCTACAAAGCTAGCCCCAGGACAGCCTCCAAAGCCACAGAGAAACCCTGTCTTGAAATAAACACAAAAAAGTTTGATGCACACACAAAATCTTTTCTTAGAAGTTTTATTGAGATCGTGGGTGAGGCGATAGCTTGGTGGATAAAGAATGTGCCACTGGAACTGGGATTCCCAAACCCACATAAAAGCTGAGGTGTGTTGCAACTTGTAATCCTGGGAGGCAGAGACAAGATCCCCATGGCAAACCGGCTAGGTAGACTAGCCAGAGTCAGTGAGCTCTAACTTCTATCAAAGACTCAACAACATGGGAGGCAGTGGAGAAAGACACTCAGACACTCAATGTCAGCTTCTGGCTTCCACACAACACACACGCACGCACACACACACACACACACACACACACACACACGCATACGCACGTACACGCACACATACCACACATACATACCTTTGCAAAGAAAGAATTTTGCCAGTGCCTACACTGTTCCAGACACTGGGGAGCGTTCTGTGCTCCAGACGATGTCAGCTGTGTTCTCAAGGAGCCCCATTCCATCGCAAATGAGCGAATTCCTTTAGGACTCCAGTGTTCCCCTCTGCCACCTCTGGGCGCTCCACCTGTGCATAAATGGCTGTTCCTGCTCCCAAGGGTCTGGCTTCTCCATCTCTGGACTTCCCGCTTCAGCTGCCCATACACTTGGTAGACAGGATCCACAAAGCTTACCGAGATCATAGACATCCATGCTCAGCTTGCCACACCAGTGACACTCCTAAGCCTGTCTTCATGGCAGCAACAACCAGTCCTGCTTCCTAGGGCCTCTGGCTTCCTCTTCCCTTCCACTCTCCTTCCCTCCTATCTGGTGTGACTTGCAAAGCCCTCAGGCTCTGGCGAATTCACTGACGGCTGCCCATGTCTGGGCAAATTCACTTACAAAGTCTTGACTGCGTTCCCTCCCATAGACAGGCTCCCCATTCTATCTGTAGAGCTCATGTCCCAAAGGGGCCCTTTGGGTTTGAATGGGAATAGCGCCCCCCCAAGGCTCATGTTAGAAAGCTTGGTTTCCAGTTAGTGGAACTGTTTAGGAAGGATTGTGGCCATGTTGGAATGGGAATGAACTTGTTGGGGGGAGGTGTGTCACTGGGGGTAGGCTCTAAGGTTTCAAACATCCATGCCAGACAGAGTCTTTCTCTTTCTGTCCCCTGCTTGTGGGTCACAGGTAAGCTCTCAGTCACAGCTCCAATACCATGCCACCCTGCCACGCCTCCCAATATGATGAACATGGAGTAAATTGGACATGGTGTCTCATTACAGCAACAGGACAGTAACTAAGACGTCTTCAAAGCTTTCCATTTCCACCTACTGTCACCCCCTAGACACTGTCAGGAATCAGCAGTCAACAGACATGGACCCCCCACCTCCCTCCGCTGCACTGACAAAGTGGCCAGTGTCTTCATCTGTGCCATCCTTACAGTGGAAGGTGCGTCTGTCTCTAGAATGAGCTCCCATCTGAGACGTCTGTCCAGTGAGCTTTTGGACTTTCCTCACTCATTCATTCAGTGCCCAGCATCAGCCACTCGCCATCATCATCCCCAGCCGCAGAGAAACGGACAGGTGCTCTGTGACTTCACATCGGAAAAGAAGCCTTCCTTTAACCCCACACCCTCCTGCGGCCACCTCCCCACTTCTGTGTTCTGCTCCACAGCGGAACTCCTCAAAAGGGCTGAATTACTCTCATTTCCAGTTTCCCACCCCCACTCTCTCCCCGAGTTCAGTTTCCTCTTTTGTCTACTGTCCCATTGCATAGCTTTTCAAAGTCACCAACTGCCAGCCAGACGAGGCTGCTCACTGAGACGCTGGAACCCCCTGCTTCTTGGCAGCATTCCTTGCCTCTTCATGGAGGTCCCCCCACCCCCCCACCCCCGCTCTCTTGCGGTGTCCCCTATGGTGCTTGGGATCCAAGCCAATGCCTTTGGTCCACGCCTTCCATGTCTTCCCCTGGGCTGCAGATCCAGCCTCCAACCTCTTGTGCTCTCTTCTCTGTTACTGTTTCTTGAAGAGTTCTTTCAAATAAAAGTGTAGTTCAGGCCAGGTGGTGGAGGCGCACACCTTTAGTCCCAGCACTTGGAAGGCAGAGGCAGGTGGCTGGCTCTCTGTGAGTTCAAGGCCAGTCTGGTCCACTGAGTGAGTTCTAGGACAGGTAGGACTGTTACACGGAGAAACCCTGTCTCAAAAACTAATAATAGTAATAAAAGCGTAGTTCAGTCTGGCTCTGTGTTAAATCACTTGGAGACCTTTGAAGGTTGTCCATGGCAATGCTCACACAGCTCTGATTTTTACCAGTTGGGTACATGGAACCTTGGCATCAGTGTGTGGTTTTTCAAATCTGAATTATGCTAACATGCATCCTGAGCTGAACCATTGGCATAAGTGAGTTAATCACTCAGTTCATTTTCTTAAGATTTATATTTATTTTCTAAAATAAAAAAGATTCAGCCAGGCCGGGCGTTGGTGGTGCACTCCTTTAATCCCAGCACTTGGGAGGCAGAGGCAGGCGGATCACTGTGAGTTCGAGACCAGCCTGGTCTACTGAGCGAGTTCCAGGACAGCCTCCAAAGCCACAGGGAAACCCTGTCTTGAAAAACCAAAAAAAAAAAAAAAAAAAAAAATTCAGCTGGGCGGTGGTGGCGCACGCCTTTAATCCCAGCACTCGGGAGGCAGAGGCAGGTGGATCTCTGTGAGTTCAAGGCCGGGCTGGACCGATAGCCTCCAAAACAATACAGAGAAACCCTGTCTCGAAAAACCAAAAAAAAAAAAAAAAAAGATTTATATTTTGTGTGTGTGTGTGTGTGTGTGTGTGTGTGGTCTGTGTGTCTGCAGTGCCTGTGACAGTCAGAAGAGGTTGAGGGACTTAGATGCTCTGGAGCTGGAGTTATAGACTCCAGTTATGCTAACCACCATGTGGGTGCTGGGATCCAAACCCGGGTCCTCTGCAAGAGCAGAAAGTGCTCTCCACTGCTGAGCCTCTCTCCAGCCCACATGTCACTAAATTTTAAAAGCTGTATAAATGCTGACAACTTCCAAAGGCATCCACCTTCAGCATAGACTTTCTGGGGCTGGAGAGATGGCTTAATGGCTAAGAGCGCTTTGTGCTGTGCCAGAGGACAGGGTTTGTATGTCAACACCCATATGAGCTGCCTCACAAATGCCTGCAACACCAAGGAATAATGCAACTCTCCTCTGGTCCCTATTAAATCTCTCTACACACATAGCACACATCACACACACGCACACACACACACACACACACACCACATATCACACCTCTCTCACACATACACTTCACACATCATACACACCACTCACATACACATACACACACATCACACACACACACACCACATACAAACCATACATCACACACACATACTACATACCACAGGTCATACACACACATATACCACATATCTCACACACACCACACATCACACAGCACTCACACATACACACATCACACACA